ATATGTGTGGCAGTACTATGTGGATGTGATCACATCTCTGGGGTTGCAGTAAAGCTAGACTACTTTGGTCTAAAATCATTCCTCAAGAAGCTCAAATATACTTTTTCAAGGATATTATAAACGATTGGTTCATGATGAATCTCAAGAATAATTAGTCTTATGCGAGAATTTTCAAGATTAGTGTGTGACCTTTAGTCTAACATGCTGGAAACTTTGGAATCACATGAATAATTTTACTTTCTAAAGGATTGTTAGTAGTGTTGATGATCAAGTTAAGGAAATTTTTCTCATGATTGATTATACTCTTATGACTAACACTATGAATAAATTTGTTTTTCTAGGTACGAGTCGAAGATCTGAAGAGCTTATTAGATGGTAGACACACCCCTCGAATTGGGTCAAAATGCACACTAATGGAGCCCATCGTGCTAACATGAATCTTTCCTACTGCAGTGACCTTATCAGATACGAGGATGGAGGGTACTTAAAAAGCTTTCATAGAAAAATTAGTGGTTACTTTGTGTTACAGACCGAGCTTTGGGGGGTTTTAGATAGACTCCAACTCGCATGGAATGTTAAATAGTGCAACATTATTCTTGAGATGGATAGTTCTCTAGCTGTGCAATTACTTACCAATGATGATTATTGCATTAATATTCATACTACTCTCGTTTGTGATATCAAACACTTGTTATTGAAGGACTGACGTATCAAAGTTCAACATGCATATCGCAAAAAGGAATAAATGCATTGACTAGTTGGCGAATTTTGGCTTCACGTTGTAGCTTAGTCTTCATCTGCATGCTCACGTGACAGATGATCTCCAACAACTTATCACTAATGATGTCCTAGAAATTTTTTTGTCCAAGATGTGTTCGAGGAGTTCTTCGTTTTTTTTAAAGGCTTTGTAACCAAAAGAAATAGTCATGAATTTATTTTTTTTTTAAATTCAACATATCATAACCACAAATTAAATTAAAAATAAATAAAAAGGTTATGAAAGAAAAAGAGGTATAAATGTAAAGATGTATGAACATCCATACTCCATGAAATTTAAAGAGTTCACAATAATATAAAAAATGATTACGTTAAATTTGTGGTGTATATTAGGGAAAATGAATAGATGTACATATCGACTTGCCAAAAACTCTTTCTTTTCCTCTACTATTTTTTGGACATTTTCTTATATTATCATCGTGCCTTAACCATGAATAACCTTATATATATATATATATACATATATATATACATATATACATATATATATACATATATACATATATACATATATATATACATATATATATACATATATACATATATATATACATATATACATATATACATATATATATACATATATACATATACATGTGTATATATACAGTTTATGTCTGTGTATATATACGAATATTTTTCCATCATTACGATCTAACAAAAAACTTGATGTCATTGATAAGAAAAGGTATACGAAGAGAATAAGCAATAAGGTAAGTCATGCGTAAAAGAAGATAAAGGGATAAGAGTTACATGAAATATAATCGCCAACTTTACTGGGGAGGGAGCAACCCTAACAGAAGAGAAAGGGTCGACCGCGAGAGAGAGATATTGAGATCGATGGGGAGGAGAGCAAGCCGAACAAGTGCAAGAGTCTAAAGAGGAAGTAAGATTTTAAAAGTAGCTAGTCTGATCGAGAAAAGGATGGGCGGAAAGAGTACGAAGATCTAAAGAGGCGTCGGCAGCGTCGCGTTACAACGTCGCCAAGGAGGACTTGAGAGAGAGGACTGGCGTTGCAAGTGAATATCCACACGGTGGCAGAAGGTAAGACTAATTTGAGTTCTAAATCCCGAAATTGAGGGTCGTATTTTGGATAATTATAGTAAATCTGATTGTATGGTTGAATTGGGAGTTGAGAGAGTAAAATGAGTTGTGGTTCTGGTGAGGAATGATCAACTGTTCATTCTTAGTTGACAGAATACTGAAATATTAAGAAACAAGAGAGTTTCAGCCGGATCCCATATGGAGAAATCACAAAGAGCGGATTCAGAGAGAGAAGAAAGTTTGCTCGAGTAAAGAGAACAGTTAGACAGGGATGAGGCATCAATGGAGATAATGTACAGATACTTATGTCCTTGCTAGATCTCTTAAAAAATTTATTATGTTATCACATTATATTATTGAGATATTAAATTAAGTAAGCAACTTTGTTTGGCAATATTACTACACATATACCACTGATGATTGTATGTAAATATTTTTTGTAAGCAAACTATATTATTTCAATACCTCAATAATGCAACCCTATGTATATATATATATATAATACATTTCCAGATATACTGATTCCCCCCATCTTGGTTCTCGCATCTATATATATATATATATATATATATATATATGGGTTAAAAAGAATATGAGTGAAAATTCCAAGGGTAATGAAGTCCAAGGATGTGGGAAGGGAGGTTGGTGATTGGAGACGTGAACGAACCCAGTCCCTCCGCTGACAAGAACAAGGGTCGGGTCGCTTCCAAAATGGGTCCACGTGCATTCATGAGAATTGGATTATGCAACTTTGGTCTACTTCACATGCGTTGAATTTTGAGTTTTTTTTGTTTCTTTGAAATTCAAGTTACAGTTTTAGACATGTCTTCTTGTAATTTCCAAGACATGGTTATACGAATTGCAATTATGTCTCTCCATCATGGACGGCCTTGTCCACAGGGAATTGTGAATTGGCTCATCTGAAGTCGGTCTTCCTCAGAAATCAAGAGGCAAAAGTCTTGCAACCTCACAATTATAACATTTTTTTTTTCTTTTGTTTTCTTTGTGGTCTAAAATCCTGATATCTTAATCACATAAAATTTACTAAACTGCCAAAAATAGCAAAGGGACACTGCGGTTTCTTTCTCATTCTTCAGGTTTGGCTACAGTAATTGAATTTGGGTTCAGAAATCAAGCAGAATGGGGGAGGAGGGGGGACCAAGAGCCTAAGAAGGAAGTATGCGATGTCAGGATTTTGACTTGAAACTGTAATATAATGACTGGGTCTTGGCATTTTCTAGTTATAAACACAAGAGTTTGAAAAAAGTAAACTTAAGGGTTTCTAAGTCACATGCCAGATGTGAGATGTGTCAGCCATGGCTTGATTTGTGGTGGGCGTGGCTTGGTTGGTCGTGGTTTACCTTGAGCAAAGGGTTGGTGTTGCTGCTTTTTTTTTTCTAGTCAACCTTATCCCTTTTCTTTACATATTATGATTATTTTAATAGAATCTAAAATGATCCTATTAGTTAAAATGGTTAAGACAGTTCACATAAGCAATGGTCATTAGCCATTCATAATCTAAAATTTTAAATCAGTATTGAAATAAAAAAGAAGTTTATGAAGAGTTCTACAATGCTAACATAATTAGGGTAAATAATTTACTTCTGATTGGAAAATCACGCAAGAACAATCCGAAAAGAGGAGATAAAATGAATGTGCCACCTTACATATACATATCATTGATATTTTAACAAGTAAACTCGAAATGGGAGGTGATATAAATTAACAAGGACACGAGTGATTGTATATTTGCAGGTGAATCAGTGTCTGGTTATCTTTGAAATGATGGGATGGAGTGTCTTCAGCCTGATTCCAAAGGAGAATGGTGTAAGGGCCATTCTTACTCCTCAACCAACTCACCTTCTTCGTGCCACTGCTGCTGCAGGCTCTAAGATGTCACGAACCCCGGTTACTTATTCTTCTCCTACTACCCTCTGCACCATTTTTACGATTCGACCTGCTTATAGCCGCCAACCCATGAGTTTAGTGATGCTGCCTTGTCTCACAGTTTTATTTTCTATATTTTTCATAAATCATTCAAACATGGGTATGCAGTGATGCTGACAATTAATTGTTCTAAGAAACGATTGTTCAATTGGGCCTCTCATAGTTTGTTCATCTGACAAATTCCTTGTCAATTGGCCCAACTGCCCCTGTAATCAACTAAAGAGTTACAAACTATAAAACTCCTTACGTATTAATTTTTTAAAAAAAATTTCTTCAACTCTTACAAGTAAATAACTATAGATTTAGTAATGTTGAAAGGACACATGCTTCGGCTTAGTCTCTTTCGTTTTTAAGAACTTACTTGTACAAGTTAAAAGTCTCGCCAAGTTGCCTTAGCTAGACAGACGCCTAGGAAAACAGTTGCCATGGATTAGGAGCTTTTGGTTGGCATACGGGCTGGCCATACCTAATGCAACTGGACCTTAAAGTGAACCCAATTTAGCATATGCCAACGAGAGGCGACTGAAGCCCTCCTTTTTTAGTCCCTGTTCTTGGTAACCAATTCAAACTCACGCATAAAAAAAACAAGACCCACTTGACTCTTCTCTACTGTAATGCGAAACAATCACATACGAACACCATCACCGACATATCCGACGACCCAATCACACATCATATCACCCTACCACCGAACTTTGCTTAATTAAACTTGTCCTTTACTTCTATCCCTGTGGATAATAGGATTTGAATCCAAACTGTGGAATTCAATAATAAGGGCTTACGCCTTCTAAGCTGTTTGTTTTTTTGGCAAGAACCAGTTTGTAACTTAAAATTCATAACTCTCAAACAATTTTTTCCATTTTCATTAATTAGCTTTTCTCTTT